CGCCGCCGCCGCCGCCGCCCGCCCCGGGCCGCGGCAGCAGCGCGGGCGCGTTGTCGTTCTCGTCCAGCACGAACACCTGCAGCGTCACGTTGCTGCCCAGAGGAGGCACGCCCGCGTCGCGCGCGCTCACTTGGAACTGCAGCAGCTCCAGCTCCTCGTGGTCCAGCGGCTGCAGCGCGTACACCTTGCCGCTCTCCGCGTGCACTGACACGTAGCTCGACAGCGCACGCTCGCCCACGCGCCGCTCCACCAGCGAGTAGGACACCAGCGCGTTCTCCTGCGCGTCGGCGTCCCGCGCAGACGCCGTGAAGATGTGGCAGCCGGGCGGGTTGTTCTCCTTCACGAACACCGTGTACTCGGGCTGCGCGAATGCCGGCGCGTTGTCGTTCACGTCCGCCACTTCCACGGACACGCTGGCCGTGGCGGAGAGCGAAGGCGAGCCTGCGTCGCGTGCGGTCACTACCAGAGCATAGTCTGACACGCTCTCTCGGTCCAGGGCGCTGTCCAGCACCAGCGAATAGTAATTCTTGAAGGTGGACACCAGCTTGAAGGGAACGTGGGGTGACAGGGTGCAGGTCACCTGCCCATTGAGACCGGAGTCGCGGTCGGACAGACTGATCAGGGCGATGACAGTCCCCACTGAAGCGTCCTCTTGGACCGGCAGAGATATGGAGGTTATGACCATCTCTGGGGTATTATCATTCTCATCTAGGAGTTTTACTATTACTTTGCAGTGTCCAGTTAATGGGAATGGACTTCTATCTACAGCATCAATATTAATTTCATATAAATTACAGTCTTCGTAATCCAGTTCTCCCTTAACTGTTATTTCCCCATTATTCGAATCGATTATAAATTTAGATTTGACGTTGTCAAGAACAAGATCACTAAAGAGGTATACGATTTCCTTATTAATGCCGTCATCTGCATCTGAGGCGTTCAGTTTAATAACTAATGTCCCATTTGGTGCATTTTCTAATAATCTGATATTATAAACTGATTTATCAAATTTGGGGGCATTATCATTCGCATCCAATACGTTGATCAATAATTGAACTGTACCTGTTAGTTCAGGTTTTCCTCCATCAACTGCAGTCAGTAATAAAAGATGTTCCTGGATTTCTTCTCGATCTACTGCTTTCTTTAAGACCAGCTCTAAAATGTTTGTTTCTTCTTCATTTGCTTTAACATCCAAATCAAAATATTCATTAGGATTTAATTTGTATCTCAATTCTGCGTTTGCTCCGACATCCATATCAGATGCGCCCTCTAGCGGAAACCGGGAATCCACTATTCTTGACTCTAAAATAAATAATCTTTGTTCCTGTCGGAAAAACCTTGGCGGGTTGTCGTTAATGTCCTTCACTTCCACCTCTACATGGAAAACCTGCAGCGGCCTGTCCACAATCACCTCCAGGTGGATGCTACACTCCGGACTCCGCCCGCACAGCTCCTCCCGGTCGATCCGAGAATTCACAAACAAAATGCCATTCTGCAGATTTACCTCCAGAAGGTCTCTATGACCTTTGGACGCCACTCGGAAAAGGCGCGGCACCAGCTCAGCCTGCTCCAGCCCCAGGTCTTGGGCGATGCGGCCCACGAAGGTGCCGTGTTTGACCTCCTCCGGGACCGAGTAATGGACCTGGCCGCTCCCGGCTTCCCAGACTGCGAGGAGCAGAAGCGAGAGCAGCAGGCGCGGGGAACCTGGACTTCTTCTCTGGGAATATACCATCGCAAATTCGTTGCAATTTTCAAATGTCTATTGCACTACCACACGATAGCTTTTGGAAACCTAATTCCCAATTTGCTATAATTTTTTATTTGCTCACCTTTTCAGCCTCAGCAGCAGAGTAAAAAAAGGAGTAGCCTTTTCCTTTCTGTCTAAGGAAAATAAACTAACTCACTGTATTCCTTTATTGGGAAAGGGGGGGGGGAAGCCAACCACCAAACTTGCGGTTTCCAGCGCCATCATGTGGATGAAAGGGTGAGTTTTTACTTTGTTGTGTTTTATTTGCCTTATATTTCCCAATTTCAATGACTTTCAGGTATTCTTTATTTTCCTTATCTCTAATTTAAATACATCGTTAAGATTATAATAAAGAATATCAGTTTTCATTAAAATACTGCAAAATCAATGCTACTTTAGTCGTGCCACACCAGTCTTTACTAGAGTAATTTGTATTGGTCTATTCTATTTAGGGAGTGACTTTATATAACTCCTAACTAAAATTAAAGGTTTTAGTTTTCTACTTATTTCCATATTTAAATATATCTTGTTAAATTTCTTGAGTGTTTTCTATTATTTTCATGGGATGTTTGTACACTACTTCTATGTTATTCATGAAACAAATTTATATTTCTATTTGCAGCATTTAATATTGGCTTTTTGTTGATGTTATCTTTAAAGTAACAAAATACTTGAATAGCATTCTTGTGTGAGTTACAGTTTGGAAGTCTGATATTTAAATTGCTAAAAATCCATTTCTTTAATTTCTCCCTGTATCAACTACTTTTAATGTTGACTAAAAACTCATTATGTGGAGATTTAAAATTTCTAGAGGTCAAAATCATAGTAAAAACACTTTTGGTCAGTATCTTGACACCATTTTTCAAATCAGATGCATCTAGGCAGCATTTCTTCAACTGATAAATCACAGTTCATATAAACTGTGAAAGTACATATCTTTTTGCTTTTATGCAGCAAATCAAAATACTAATATTTTCCTGTAGATATACTACTCCATAAAGTGTTTGGGTTCCAGTAAAAATTAAAATATTGAAAATAAACCACATTATTAACTGGACTATGTTAATTTCATCTCTTTTTAATCATCCTTTTGATTTACTGCATGATACCACTTAGACTTACAAATATGGCCAGAAGAAAATGTCCCAAAAGAAAATGTCACCAATTTTTTCCACTGAAAAGAAATTTAACCTTCTGCTTGTGTATATACTACCTAGAATTCCTTAAATATTAAAAAGCCTCCTTACCTATGAAGACATTGGGTCCAGTAAATCAATATTTCTATTACTTGACACTTTTACATGTAAAGCATAAACCCCAAATATATTCCTTTTTAAAAAAGATTTTATTTATTTATTTGACAGAGAGAGAGAGATCACAAGTAGGCAGACAGCCAGGCAGAGGGAGAGGGAGAAGCAAGCTCCCCGCTGAGCACAGAGCCTGATGCGGGGCTTGATCCCAGGATGCCAGGATCATGACCTGAGCCAAAGACAGATGCTCAACCGACTGAGCCACCCAGGCACCCCCGCAAATATATTCCTTACTTTTGGTTTTAAGTTTCATGTGAGACTTGTATTATTTTTGTGTCAATGTATAAAACAAATGTGGAAAAATGGTAATATAAAGAATAGTGAGAAGATAAGAAATTACTTGAAAATACAAAATCAATTGAAATACTTTCGCTTCCCAGTATTCAAAGTAGTAAAGAATTAGAATAATGTTACTGGATTCATTTCTTATATAATATTTAACAGTACATTTATCATTCCCTTTAGTTTTTCAAAGACTCTTACTCTCTACTAACATCACTTTCCCCTCAGCATTCAGATCACCCAAACACTAAAGAATCTGAACATTAATCAATTTTCCAGATTATCTTTTACCGATAATGATAATTTGAAAACATTTTAATACACAACAGCTAAAAAAACAAAAAATGATAATAAATGTGCTGAAAATATCATCAGTTAAGGTTGATTTACCTTCTATTGTGGAACCATGACTGATGTGAAACTCCAAAACCATGCTATAAATAAATTTACTTTTGAAAAAAGTGAATGTCAAGTATTTAACAGCCAAACCGACAGTGTGATGTTAACTATGTATGCATGGTGATTGATAGAATATTTTCAGTATATATTTCAACATTTTGAAAATATACACAATGGGAAAAATGGCATCAACAGTTTCACATACTTCTTTCAGTTTATAATTTTTTATGTAAATACATAGATGTTTATTTTTTTAAGATTTTATTTATTTATTTGAGAGAGAGAGCACAAGCAGGGGAGAGGGAGAAGCAGGCTCCCTGCCAAACAGGGAGCCCGATACAGGGCTCGATCCCAGGACCCTGGAATGATGACCTGAGCCAAAGGCAGACGCTTAACCAACTGAGCCACCCAGGTGCCCCAATATATGGATATTTCAAGAGAAAACAAGACTCTTGACATTTGACCCATCTTCACATCTGTTAGATAATATTAAGTTTTTGAATTATAATCTGCATTAGTCTTTCAATGCTCAACTGTTTAGGAGGAGGTTAAGTTCTCAACAATTATAGGCTCTCTGGTCTTAATTCCACAGACAACTCCACAGGTGGAGAAAATTCTTTAAATCTTTTTCCAAACCATTCTTTCAATTAAATATTATAAATTACCTTATTAACTGATCTTTTCACTTGCTAGTTCCTTTAAATTTTTAATTATATTTAAACCTTGTTATAGAAATTAAACTCCTAAGTCGGAGGGGGAGACGAACCATGAGAGACGATGGACTCTGAAAAACAAACTGAGGGTTCTAGACGGGAGGGGGTTGGGGGGAGGGGTTAGCCTGGTGATGGGTATTAAAGAGGGCACATTCTGCGTGGAGCACTGGGTGTTATGCACAAACAATGAATCATGGAACACTGCATCAAAAACTAATGATGTAATGGATGGTGATTAACATAACAATAAAAAATTTAAAAAAAAAAGAAATTAAACTCCTTCCTTGACCATGAATTTAGGTTAAGAAAATCAGGTAGAGTTTTGAGGAATCTCTACTTAATATAATGGGAAGCATTCCAAGAAGATGTTACACTAGAAAATTTAACTTTGCATGGGAATCTAGATGCCCTTCATTACCTACAAAACTCCAGAATATAATTTTAATAAGCTATATTTCTCTCCTATCTGTAAAAATTTACATAGGTCTACCACACTGCTCAGAAACAACAGGTGAAGGTGAAGCAATCTTTTAGAGATTTATAAATAATTTATGCAGCTGTGTCAAATTTGACCAAAAAATTAATTATGAAACCATTACCCTATGAAAGCACATTAGTGCATATGGTACATATCTTTACATTATTTTTTAATGGTTCAACTTCCCTATAAAATACTGTGCTAAAATATTTATATTTTATATCCACTCTGGGGAGAAAAATCTGAGAGTAATTTCAAAGTACCTCTAAGTGAAAAAGTAAAGTACATTAAGTATACTTTTTACTCACAATCCTATTGCCTTTATTATTGCCAAATAGGCTCATTTAAAAGTGGAAAGGGACAACAGAGCTAAAATTTAAAACTTTTGGTTCTATTACCTGTATTCATAATAATATCCACGTAGCCTCAAGCAAGTTTTTTATGTCTCAGCCACAGTTTATTCATCATTTAATTGAGAGAAATTATGATCTTTTAGGTTATATTCAGTTTTAAAATCCTAGGTCAAGTCAGTAGAAACTTGCTGAGGTGCACGATTCTTAGAGCATTAACCAGTGTCAAGGGTGAAAAGGAAGAAAGCAGGGTAATTAAACAGTAATAAACTTCAATAAGCTTGGTTCTTACGATTTAGTGGTGAGGAGGAAGAAACAAAGTTTCAAATAAAGTA